TAGAGATGGAGATAGAAGATCGGGGTTCCACGCAGACAAATACGTTGTTGTCGGTTATGGCTAGAAAGCGAGGTCGATGGAGGAACAGAAGCCAAAGTGGATTGCGTTGGTGGCCATGCCTCATATGGTCGTCTCCCTGGTGTCCCGTGGCCAGTGAACGAAAAGGGTGTGGATGAACGCTCCTATAGTGGGTTGCAGACGAAATAGAGAAGAGAAGGAGGGGGATTGGGGGTTTCGATGAATGTGCGTTACAAAGGCTAGAGAAGAGATGAGAGATTGGAGAGGGTTAGGTTTAGGTTTTCATTAATCTATTTATTCAATTTATTTATTTTTCATTTTAAAAGACTGAAATACCCCTTGTATATGGGGCACTTAAACGGAACAACAAACGGTTAACGATGTTAGGAATGAAACGGACAACAAACTAAACTATGATGGATGATCCGAGTTATTTTTTGAAAATAGGGATTAAATCTGCATTTTGACACTGGTACGAGGGACAAATCGTATAATTTACTCTCAGGTATATTTTGAAGTAGTGGTGATGTGTATGAACCCATTTTTATACGAACGGTGGATGCGGAAGTAAGATATCTCGAGATTAATCGTGTTTTTGTAAGTATGAACACGAAGAAAATATTATGAGTTCGAATAAAGAAGGCTAAGAACAAAGAGAGATAATAATATTAATGAAGAACATGGTGGGAGAGAAACTCTCCCTAGGTGGGAGAACCCACCACTTTTTCTCTCTCTCTAGATTACATTGTGAGAAGTACAAAAGTAATCTCTAGCTAAGAAAAGTGAGCTAGCTTTTTTAAGAGATGACCAACTCTCCCTTTATATAGGAGGGAGAGTATTTACACCAAAATACAATAAAGGGAAAATACAACCTAACTATCACTCATTATTTGTAGAGCATTTCCATGCTCCAACATTCTCTCCCTAAATGCTTACAAATGATGAGAGATACAACAAGTGATACAAGGCTATAATACAGTAATCCGACTAGCAAGTGTGGTAATAAAATGAAACATCGTGAGAACCAAATGCTGAAATGTCTCTGAAACTCTGAAGTGTCTGTGAAGTCTGAAACTGGCCATGAATCTCTAAACAATGAAGGTCTTCGGCTTCAAAGCACAACCAATAAAGCAGAAAAAAATTAAGATCCAAATCTTCAAACCAGTCATAATCACCCGAAGAAAGAGGTCATCATGAACAAGTAGAAGATCCAATAAAAGAAACACTTCGGCTTCAAAAAGTCTGAAAAAACATCTCGAGTTCTCGAATTATAATACACCGAAATTCTTCAAAGAATAACCTGCTAAAAATGTGAAGCATCCATAAAATGAAGTCCGGATAAAAATAATGTGAGTCCAAAGACATGGTCCAACAATGCCAAAAATTTAATCCAAGGATCAAAAATAAGTGACACGTCACATCGCCAAAATAATCTTCGTCTTCAACATATCACAAATCCAAACTTGAGAAATCATAAAATTTGAACCGGATGTGAACACAAAATCATCATGTGGTAGAGTCCGAATAATAAATAATCTGAATCGGAAAACATTGAGTAATGCCAAAATTTTGATCCGTAAAGACCAAAAATAAGTGCCACATCGCATCACTAAATAAATAATCGTCTTCAGAAGTCTTCAAAAATCCAAACTCAAACAATCACAATAACCAAATCTGGATGATATTCTCTCCCTATTTTTGATAACCAATGAGCGGATATCAAAAATCAACAAATCATCGGATGGAGAGTGTCGGATACCAAGAGCTAAGAGAGCTCTCCCTAGATGTATGAATGGTCTCGATAAGAAACGAGAAAGAGTAAAAGAGATACTCTTGTGGTCATGAGGAGGAGGGTGACATAGTTGCTGAAGCTGTGTTGAGAAAATAATCTGTTGTGCCAAAAATATATATCCAAATATCCAAACTGCGGTGCCGAAACACTTGAAGTGGCTTCAAAGAAGGTAAAGTCCACTTACTTAAAAAATAAGCAACCAAGTCATAATAATCCCATAGTGTGAAGAATGCGGAAAAACTTTGTTGATCAATCGCCGTTGCGGTGCAAGCATCACAAAGAATAATATGAAGTCCGACTGCGGTATGGAGTAATCTTCCAAAAATAATCGGCATGAAATGAACCAATGTGACAATCCAAGGTTCGGTTGTGGCAAAAATTGGTATTAGAAAAATAATTTGTGTAAAAAAATAATTGGTTTTAATAAAAAAAAATTGGCTAAAATAAAAAAAATGGCTAAAAAAAATTAGCTGAATAAAAATAATTGGCGTTAAAAAAAATAAATTGGTGTTAAAAAAATTTAAAAATAATAATGATAATAATAAAAGTGGCTGAATAATAAAAAAGGAGTTAAGAAAGAAAAAAAGGGTTTAAAAAAAAGGGGGGAAGGGCTGATGAGAGGGGAAGAAAAAGGAAGGGGGAGGAGGAAGGAGCTGAGAAGGGTAGATCTGAAGTCTGCTGATGGAGGGTGGTTGCGGTGGGAGGTGGGTTGTGGATTGGTGGGTGACTTCGGATGAGAGGGGGTGAGGCGGGTGAGGTTGGTTACGGATGGAGTGGCTTGGGTGCGGACGCAAGGGTGAAGGATGGCGAATCAGATGTGGGAACCGAAGTCAGGAGCTAAGATTGCGGTGCGATGGAGTGATAAGCGGTTGCGGTGCTAGACTACAGTAGGCGCGTTGCGGTCCGAACCAGGGAAGGAAGGCTGCGGTCCGAACCAAGGCAATGATCCGAGCCGAGGGCAAATGAGGGGTTTTGGCTGCGGTCAGGAATTTAAGAAGGAATTGCGGACAAGGCAGCAGTGTGACCGAGGCTGCGGTCATCAGCAATCTTGATTTTTTTTTTTTGATCCTTTTTTTTATAATAATAAAGGACAAAAAAAAAAGGATTTTGGGCAGAGGAAAAAGGGTGTGCAAGTGGGTTTTAGGGGACAAAAGGTGATGAGATTTGTCATAGTCACATGGTTTTTGCTTGGGAAATCAAATAAGAGTGAATTACTCTTTACCCAAAAGAGCAAAAAGGACAAAGTGTTTTTCACAAACACAATTTACGTCCAAATGGTCTTCAACATTAGATTCACAGTAGGAAAAGTTAGAAGAATAAGAACTTTATACCTTTTGTGAAGAAAAAGTTGCTGGGAAAAAAAAAATTCACTTCTCTTGAAAATAAGCCCATTAAATTTGTGTCTTCTCATCCAAGGAAAAAGAGTTTCCTGGAACAAATTCTTCATCTTTTTCTAGACCACAAAATAATTTCTTCACCAAATATTCTTCATTTCTTCAACAGCAAAAATAATAACTTTTAAGAACATCATTTCCAGCAGTAATTTGAACAAGCAACAGCAGCAACAATTTATTTTTTTTACTAAGATTTGAGTCAACCCGGAAGATAGAACTAAGAACGAACTCATAAAAAAAATTCGGTTTGAAACCCGAAATTTTTTTTCTTGCAGAAACACGGAAAAATCACAAGATAATCACCGAACGGGAGTCGTTCCCTTGAACTAGTCGATTGAACCTTCAAGGTACGACTCTGATACCAATTGTAGGAACTCCTTTTTATACGCACGGTAGATGCGGAAGTAAGATATCTCGAGATTAATCGTGTTTTTGTAAGTATGAACACGAAGAACATATTATGAGTTCGAATAAAGAAGGCTAAGAACAAAGAGAGATAATAATATTAATGAAGAACATGGTGGGAGAGAAACTCTCCCTAGGTGGGAGAACCCATCACTTTTCTCTCTAGATTACATTGTGAGAAGTACAAAAGTAATATCTAGCTAAGAAAAGTGAGCTAACTTTTTTAAGAGATGACCAACTCTCCCTTTATATAGGAGGGAGAGTATTTACACCAAAAATACAATAAAGGAAAAATACAACCTAACTATCACTCATTATTTGTAGAGCATTTCCATGCTCCAACATCATGGCATTTGTTTATTGGCTAAAAAATCTAATCCGGGATTTGGTGCTCTATTTCAAAGATTATAGGAAGAGAGGGTAGATCTTGCAAGGCTTTTCAAAATGAAAATTAAAAATGGCTCAGGAACCACGCTTTGGTATCAGATTGTTGGTTTGTAGATGGGCTTCATTTAAAGCGATTTCTTGGGCCTTGAGGACAGTTTTTAGGAAATTAGAAAGTGCCACCGCTTATGATATACAAATGATGATATTTTCTTGCGTAAAAAATAGAAGCAAAATTTGTATAGCGAAATTTTGAAAGAATATAAAATATTTGTTATGGTAGTTTATTTCCTAACAGTTTGGTCCTTTTCCTACAAACCGTTTTCGGGCTTATACCGACTTCTATTGGGTCGCTGGTAAATTAAAATTCATATAAGTACCAAAAAATTAATGGATCGGTAAAAAACTTAGGAAGAAAAATTAAAAATCTAGATAATTTTCGTGAACACGGAACTTGAAATAAAAATCCAACCTAAAATCACCATAACCCCCACAACAAAAAAGATTGGAAATCAATATAGAAGAGGTGTGATAGACATAGGCAAACGATAAGGCATGGGAAGTCATTCAAAATTGTCGAGATTTTTGGATGATTTGTAATTCAATTTGAAAGTTCCATTAAATTTTGCCTACAAATCCTCTTATTTTTTTTAAAAAAATTAACTTAAAATCATATGAAATTACCCCAAAAATTAGGAATCAATATTTTAACATGTTATATTACTTCCTTATTAGAAAAATATATATGTAATTTTTCTAGGCTTTGTGAAAAGAAAACCTAAATTATAAGAAAATGACATCTGATCAAATGCTTAAAAAAATGATAAGTGGCAAAAAATAATTTTTATTTATTAGAGTAGATTATATTAGAGTAGATATCAACATTTTAGGTTGTAGTTCTATTTCCAACTAAAATCAAAGCATAATTTAGGATATTCGTGAAAGATTTCAACAACAAACAAACCTTAATATACACACATCGAACAAACAAACCTTAATATACACACATCGATACATATAGAATTATCAAGTTCCAATATTTATTTTTTGTAAAGGTATGCTTTATATTATAAACAAACGCTCAGTCATTTGAATTTATTAATAGAATTGAAATTGGATTTTTTAAGCTTTTGGGCTTCGGTTGGCACTTTGACGTTGGTTGCCAACCCTACTCCTTCAAGAAACTTTATAATGTACCAAGTAACATCTATTTGCCACCACTCAAATCCATGTCGAGCTGAATACTCAAATGCATGATGATTATTATGCCATCCTTCTCCGAAAAAAAACACTCCTAACAACCTTCACAAAATTTGGACAAACATTTATTTATGTTGGATACAAGTATAATTAGCACATTCAGATATATAAAAACATACCAGTTGTTCTTGGAGAGATCTCCGGTATTCCAAGATTGGTTTCCCCAAATATGACAAACAGAGTTCACAAAAAACGTGAGGTGGTATACCCATACAGTCCTAACACCCTACATAAACAATGTAGATTGAAAATTAATTAAATATATGTATTATCGTACACATATACATACTATTTTACATTTTTACACACATTATATCGAAAGCAACATATTGTACTACAATTATTTTATGATTATGTATCAAGTATTTTTTTGTTTATTTGACGAGACAATATACGATAAATCATCAATTCGCTTTGAGATAAACAACAATTATTTACCATCACCAATTCGCTTTGAGATAAACAACATTTATTCACCACACTGTTGTTCCTTTTATTCTTTGTTGTTGCAAATTAACCTTCTAAGTTTAGTTAATTTGGTTCAAAAAAAAATTATATAAACGATGAAATTACATATTTGCAAGCATCTAAGTCAGATATATTTGAAGTAGTGGTCATGACATTTGTTTATTGGCTAAAAAATTTAATCCGGGGATTTGGTGCTCTATTTCAAAGATACAGGAAGACATGGTGGATCTTGCAAGGCTTTTCAAAATGAAAATTAAAAATGGCTCTGGAACCACGCTTTGGTAATTGGTAAAGATTGTTGGTTTGTAGATGGGCTTCACTTAAAGCGATTTCTTAGGCCTTGAGGATAGTTTTTAGGAAATAAGAAAGTGCCACTGCTTATGATATACAAATGATGATATTTTCTTGCCTAAAAAATAGAAGCAAAATTTGTATAGCGAAAATTTGAAAGAATATAAAATATTTGTTATGGTAGTTTGTTTCCTAACAGTTTGGTCCTTTTCCTACAAACCGTTTTTGGGCTTATACCGACTTCTGTTGGGTCGTTACTTACTCTCAAAATTTGTCCTGCGATAAAATTTAGTAGTTGAATAGTAAAATTTCATAGGGGTCTATGGTTCAAACCTGATACACCAAAAATCTTGCTACGATTGACTTGTCATGGATTTTGAGACGGATTGACTTAGACCGTTCAAAATGATACAATATATTATTTTTTAACTCGCAAAACAAGCATTAAATGAAAAAAAAATAATCGAGTCAAAAGTTGCTTAGAAGTGATTAAAATCTTTACAATATCCGATCACCTTAGGTAAAAGAATTAGACGGTTATTGTAATTCTATAATTCTTGTAGTGATACTTGATACATTTACCATTTATAGAATTCAAAATGAAATAAACAAAAGTAATATTAGTGTATCAACCCACCCTTCAAAATTATCGGTCTTTGAACGGATATTAAACTTACACTAAGAACATCTCCAATGGTTACCCATGTTATAACTTAAAGTTATTGTCACCTCATCATCTATTAATTTTGATCTCTAAATAAATGACTTCTTCAATGGTTGAACTTATTTTAATAGTTTTTTTATAAATTTAACTAATTTATCTTATTCTATCTAAAATGTTTTATAAAACATCTAATTTAATTAATCCTTTTTTAAACACAAATCATATCTTAATATGAAAATATATAATACAATTATATCGAGTCTTTATTTATACACCTAAAATATGAAAAATGATTATGTTTTAGTTATAAAAATACAACAAAAACATTGACAATATTACAAATTAGTTATAAAATGACATATCTTTAAAATGGAAGGGTTAAAATGTACAAGTTATCATACTCTATTGACCACTCAATATATAAAAAAGCAAAAAAGTTGTTTGCTCCAATGGTTTTAAGTGTTCATTTTTTATAAAAGTAAATAGAATACACTATAAAAAAAACCTCCCATTGGAGATTCTCTAACATCTATTGATGTAGCAATATAACAAAAGAAAGAATTTCTTAATTTTAATATTAATTTTAACTTACATTAAGACCAATTTTTACCAAACACTAAAACATTATTATAGAAACTAATAAAATGTTGTTGGGTTCCCAACAAATCTATAAAATCACTATTTTAAAATAGTAAAATAAAATGGTTTTATGTTCCAATACAATGGTGTTTGGTTCCATTAACGGCGTGTTCGGCACGGAGCGTTTGAGAGCTTCTAGCGTTTAACAAAACGCTCCATTTTGAACAGAAAGCCCCTTTCGACACTACAAGCTTCTAGCGTTTAGTTTAAACAAAACGTTCCAAATCCAAATGTTACTTCATGTAGCGTTTAACAAAACGCTACAAGCTACAAACTACCCGCTACCAGCTAATTTTGCCGAACACGACCTAAATCTCTAAGATTATACAGTGCACCAACATCACACACCACGGTTTGGTGAGGTGGCACTGCCACTGCGGCAGTGCGGTGAACACCATACTGGCCAGTATGCAGTGTAGTGCAGTGTCCACCCCATACGAGACCAACTTACCGTACCTTTTTCTTTCTTTGTGGCTGTTTTAAAATCAACAAATTTAATATATATATATATATATATATATATATATATATATATATATATATATATATATATGATTTTTTTTCTCTATAATAAATACACACATTATTTCACATTTCAAACTACACAACTATCAAATATCTTTATATTCTCTATTGTTAAATTTTGAAATGTCTTCATCATCTTCCACTTTGTCGGATATATTGACATTGCAGGAGTCGGCATATATCGGGAACGTTATGAGAATAGTAATAGTGTATCTACAAGAAAATGAATTTCAAACTTTGCGTTCAAAGACTATAAATCATTCTTTATGGAGAAATCATGAGGCCTAACACAAACCATCTTGTGAATGACTATTTTGACGATGATGTAATCTACACTGACAAATCTGGACGTCAGTTCTGGATGAGGAAAGAATTATTCAAAACTTATTCATACACATTGTTGATGATGTGAATAATCGATTTCTGTATTTTCAACAGAAATGGGAAGCAAGAGGCAAGAAAAGTTTCTCTCCAATTTAAAAAAGTACAACGATAATTCGTCAACTAGCATTTGGCATGGGACCGGACTCATGGGATGAGTAGTGGAGGATATCAAAGTGAACGACATGTAGAATGTTTATACAAGTTTGCTAAAGTTGTGATTATCCTTTATCATGGTCGGTATTTACGCAAGCATGTAACTAGCGACATCCATCAATTGTATACGAAACATGAAAACAAGCATGAGTTTTCTGGAATACTTTGTAGTATTGATTATATGCTCTGGGGTGGTCATTACGCCCTAATGTGTGGCATAGTCAATTCATGTGAAGTGATCGAAAACAACCAACAATACTTTCAGAAGCAGTGACATTGTGTGATGTTTGGATATGACATACGTATTTGGGCCATAGGGTGCCAACAACGATCTCAACGTTCTAGAATAATCGTCGAATATTCAACAAAATCTACCTTGAGAAATTGTATGATGTGTCACTTCAAGAAAATAGAAAACCATACAAGCGTGGGTATTACCAACTGATGGGATATATCTCAAGTTAGTTGTATTTGTGAAATCATTATCGTGTCTAAACAATGAAAAACGATTAAAGTTTAAGTCGACCCAAGAATCAGCTAGGAAGGATGTCAAGTGAGCCTTTGGTGTTCTAGAGAGACGTTGACAGATACTCAAAGCACCGACATGATCATTCGAGCATAGAATAATAAGTAGCATGATGTATGTATGCATCATATTGCATAATATCATTATGGAAGATGAAGGAAAAAACGATTTGTCACTACAATGAAAACGACAATTTACTAATATTCGAAGGAGTAGGTATTGGTACACCGAAAAACATAGCGAACAGAGGGGAAGTATACAACAAAGTTGGACACCACAACCTTTGGGTTGATTTTGGTGGAACATGTCTTAAATGCTAATCTAAATCTCGTCGTTGGTGATTTTTACGACGATTTGTTTGACGATACAAATGACGCATCAAATATGTTTGTAGATGATTTGGTCGACGACGATGATGATGTTGACAAGACAAATTCCAATCATTTAAATGGGGCGAAGAAGAATGAAAAGAAAATAAAGAAAATAATATGGCTTAATATGACATACCTAAAAAATATGATAAAATGACCATAGCCACCGATCTAAAAACAATATTTTAATTTACATTAATACTGGTTTTTATATATTTAATGTTAAACAAATAAGCAATTTAATGTTTTATGGTAGAAATAACACTTACGACCCATTTATTGAACTCAATTTCAATCAAGCGTAATTCAACCGGAATTATAAGTAATTCAACCTCAATAATTTTACAATAAGTGAATCACATTAAGTACAATTTTTTTTATTTTATATAATGAATACACTAGTTGTCACATCTGTGTATTATATGGGTTTATTAAAAAAAATTATGAAGACCTACAAACATAGGGAATTTGAATTTATAAACTAAAAAAGAAAATATTGAATTATTAAAATGTAATGTTTAATTTGTTATTTTAAACTTTTTATTTCTTTTTTTTAATTTAAACATATATTTTAAATAAATAAACAAATGAAATAAAAGGAGTAAATTTAGAAACTTAGAAATTAAAAAAAAGTTGCATTAATTAAATTGATATGCATTTATTATTACATTTATTACAATTATTACATTTAAATATAATATGAAATTTAATAAAATAAAAAAACCACAAAATGATAAGTGGAAAAACAATAAATCAAAAAATCTTAAAAAATGACATGTGTTAAATATAATGAGAATATGACATTTGGCAGAAATGATTTTTATTTATTAGGATAAATGTTATTGGAATTTTTGTAAGTTTAAGATAAAACTTCATAAAATGTCTTTGTGGCTTCCTAAAATCTCAGATATAACCTCTATTTAAAAAAAACAAACTTTATAAAAGATTTATGTGGTTTTTAATTTATATTATGACTGTCACCTACATAAAAAAACATTTTATATCATTTTTAATTTATTTTATATTTTCTTTAACTAATTTGAACTTGCAAAAAAGTAAAAAGAAAAAGAGAATAAAAAAACACCCCCGCCCCTACGTGTATACCAACCCCAAATGTATACACTTCGATAATGGAAGGGAATCGGCGTCACAGACCATGGAAACACCCCCCTCCACATACACACCCCCCCCCCCCCCCACCTTTAATACCTACCGACTACATATCCCAAACTGTCGATGTTGTGTCTCCCTCTGTGAATCAGATTACACCACAAACAACCATATATCCTTTTAATCGATAGTCGCCACATATCTATGCATGATGGAGATCACCACCCCATTAAGCAACTGATGATCACCATCGCCACTAAACTACGGACCGTTGGACCACCTGATGACCGAAGTCGTTTCTCGCTAATGCACTAAACGATCACCTCCATTTGTTCTTCCTTGAGCCGTCGACGAAACACATGTATGTCGTCGCTAAACCACTGATGTACCACAAGAGCACAACTTTGGTTATAAATTCATGAAATTATTGTTATTTTACTAAAATTATTTATATTTTCATGAAATATTTCTTCCTCTATGCCATCGTCGAGCCTTTTTAACTTAGTTCCTCATGAAATCGGTGTAGATTTTATCCCCTATGGAATTTGAAATGTTTTTTTTATTGATGCTAAAATCTGAAATGGTTTCGTGAATTGGTAATCTTTTTAATTCAAAGTCATCTGCCAACTATGAGGTGGATCGTGATGGTATTGGAGATAGTTACTAATTGGAAGGGCATTTTATGTAAAGGAATGTAAAGATTCGTGTCAAATAATGTAATTTTTTTTATGTAAAATAATGCAATGGAAAATGGTAAGAATGTTTGGTTAACATATGTGATTTTCTTATTTGGGTTTCAAGATCATCATGTTCATCAGTTGTACAGGTGTGTGAAAATGGATGATGGAGTTTGATTTTTTTCTTGAAATTGGTGGTAGACGGTGGTGGAGGGCAACTAAAGAAAGGTGAGGAAAAGGGTGGGCGTGGTGGTTTATGAAGATGGTGGCGTATAATGTGGTGATTGGAAGATGTTAAAGGTGGGTCTTGATGAACCAGTGGTGGTCCGATTGTCTTGGATGGTGGCAAGTAAGGGTCTGAAAGGTGATGATGTTGGTGTTCTGTGATTGTGACGTTAATGGGTATATGGTAGTCCGACAGGTGGGAGTTGATAATGACAACGATGGTGATGGAGGTAATGTGGGACATCAACCAGAAAGGGAAAGACAAAATGTAGGGTAGGGTAGGGTAAGATGAAGTAGGTGGATGGGGTAAGATTTTTTAATTCTTTTTATTTTTTAAAATTTTTTTAAATGTAAAATTAATTAAAAGAAAATGTAAAATAAATTTAAAAGGATATAAAAGTTTTTTAGGTGGAATAAGGACCATAGAAAATATAAATCACATGGATCTTCTATAAATTTTTTTAAAATTGAGGACATTATTATAAAAAACTACAGGGAAAATGAAGTTTTGCCTAGATTTAATTTTTCTTATTTTCTACATTCTTCTAATTTTATTGATTATATTTGAAATTTCACTTTATAACCATGCATTAAAGTATTAGACTTGTAAATTTATAATGCTAAACATTATATAATATTAAAATTAATTACTTTAAAATAATCAATAATTATTATCCATTAACATCATATCCTAAATTGATAATGTACGTTATCTATTTATTTATCTTCCTCCGTTTTATATTTTAACTCATTCAAATAAAATCGTTAAAAACAAACAATTTATTTTTTAGAGGGAAATGAGCACTAGCCATGCCAAACTATATGTCCGTTGTCTATCATGATGTAATGTTAGACACAGGGCGGGTCCAAAGATTTAGTGGGCCCAAGACGAAAAGAAAAAATAGGTCCCTAAAGTTGAAAATAGACAAGCCTTTATAAAATTTATTATTAATATTAAAAAACAAAAATATGGCTACAACATTACAAAAACAACTAATTTAAAGAAAAATATATTTCTTAGCATTTTTAGATAAGTTTAATTTTCTCTCTCTCTCTCTCTCTCTCTCTATATATATATATATATATATATATATATATATATATATATATATATATGTTCTAGGAATTTTGGGCCCCCTAAAGACATGGGCCCTGGGCGACCGCCCGGGTTGCCCACCGTTTAGACCGGCCCTGGGATTAACTATTCACTGAGGAGCTGGAGGTATCAAAATAGACGATGCTTTCATTTAGCCAAACCATCTGAACCAAATCTTGAAAAGACGAGATTTTTATAAACATGTATGAAAAACAAAGGGTCAAGAGATGCTTACTGCACGATCTACCCAACCGCTAAAAAAATTTGCATAAGATAACATAGTAGGAGGTCGGCCCCTACCCAAAAGGGAAAAAGGTCTTCTATTCATAGTCATGAAATCTCTATCAATAGAACTAGCCTCTTTTTATTTAGTGAAGGACATACTATATTAATTCTAATATTTAATTCATTAACTCCCACAAATTTATGTAAATATTTGACCTGTTTTATAATCTTATTTTATTATATTTAATGAAAATAACAATGATATCTTATAAATTATCTAAAAAAATAACAAGTTACATCGATTTATTAAAAATCATCAATTGTTATTTGAAATGTTATATATTTTCATTTATTATTTAAATAATGAGAATTTATTTTTAAGCAACTAAAAGGATACCTAAAGAAATATTTTTCATATATATATATATATATATATATATATATATATATATATATATATATATATATATATATATAATATATATATATATATATATATATATATATATATATATATATGTGTGTGTATTTGTTTGTGTTTGTGAGGAATACACAAATATCTGCACATTGAATATTAAAAGGATAGTTTTAAATTAGTCAAAACTAATATTAAATAAAAAAATAAAGACATTTTTTTTATATAGAACCAACGGATATAGACCACTAAGATGATGTGGTTCACAATCAATATTAATCGTTAATCACATTAATTTCAACATTTTTTAAATACATATATTTTCTGATATTTTCTGGTATGATTTGAATAACCATAAATTTTAATAATTTATATTATTATAATAATAATAATAATTCAATGATCGATGATGATAAGTTAGTTAATTTTAACAATATAATTAATCGTGTAATTTTATTATTTTGTAATCTTACAAAAATGGCTCAGAACATAAAATTCTTAGTTTATCTTTGGAATAAATGTTAGAATAAAAAGAGGAATTTGTAGAGGAGGAATGGTCTTGTCCCCGTTCTTTTTTCTTTGAATTTGTTGCTTTTGTGTACTGTTTGATTTGGTCCTCGTCTAGCTTCTTGCTTCCGGGGTCTTTTTCATAAAATTGGTTGTTTCCAAAAAATGTAATATACTTGGTTTATAACGTAGTTAATTAATGAAGGAGGGTAATCAAGTTATTTGAGCAAACTACATAATCATGATCTAGATCTGTCAAACCTTCATTTGGTTTTGGTTGAACTTTAGCATGTAAGATCATATTTTTATGGACCATATTGATAGGTTTGGCTATATATATCATGCCAACCCTAACTTTAAACGCCATTTTTAAGTATGTGCATATGATTTTTATAAAAAAACTTGTCTTTTTGTAACTATTTATCATATAAAAATAAAAGTTTATTAAAATGACGTATTCAAGTGGAATATATGGGAAATAATTATGCATAATGAGTTTATGAAATGAATTCAAATGAAATTTATATACCATTCCCCAAACCAGGTATGTAAATCCACCCCATGCATATAAGAGAGCACCACATCCAAATAAATGCCACATGTATGTTTTCCGTATAAACATGTAGAATGTCTGATTTTTTAAATCCTCTACATTTTTATGTTCCCGATACTGCATTAAAACAACCAATATAAAATAATTTCATGACGTGTACTCATAGCAAATGCGTTTTGACTAAGGGTGTGTTGGGATTTCTTTTTAAACTTAAAAGTACTTTTTTTATAAAAAGGATTTTTTGTAAATTTTTTTTTTCTAAAAGAGGGTTTTTAAAATGTGTTTGATTTGACTTTTATAGTTTTTAAGTGGCAAAAGCCAAAAGTCACAAAAAGACATAATTTCATGATTTTTAAAAAACCATTTTTTTTTGTTCTTAGCAAAACGTTGTTTTAAAACAAACTTTTATACTTACCAAACATCTTTTGGACATTTTTAACTTTCTGGAAACCAAAGAAAAAAGTCTCAATATTTTTAGAGAAGTTTCACTTTAGTCCCAAATTTTATTTTTTAAAAGAAAAATCTTAATTATTTGATTTTACACGATAATATGTCATTCCTGTTAAAAAAAGATTTTTTTTAGTTAATTTGAGCCAAAAAGAAATAATCAGGACTTTTCTGTTCAAAAAATAAAATTCGGGACTAAAATAAAACATTTCCAAAAATATTAGGATTTTTCTGACAATATCCGTTTTGGAAAAGTTAAAAGTCCAAAAGTTATTTTAAATGTAATGACAACCACCCTCTAAAATTCGAAACAATATATTTATAATCATAAATTAAAATTATAACAAATTATCGAAACCTTGATACCTTTTCAACCATATATTCACTGTCAAAAAGCCAACCCATATGACTAAACCAAAATCCATTAACGGGTGAATGTGTATCATTATTCGAATCCACATATTTGTGATGGTATCTATGAATGCTCACCCAAAATATTGGATCTCCCTGCATGTAAGAATATAACCTAAATATTATTTATATTGATCTTTCTAAATAACGTTTGATTTTAGTTTTCTCATAAAGTCTTGGAATATGAATATAATGAAAAGTTGTAATCTAAATAATATATTTAAATAATTGTTAATCAAACAAAGTTTCTTATAAAATTTTATTTCAATATTATAGAAATATATTATTTATTATAATGTTATTTATATTTGAATGACCTTTTATTACGAAAATCTTAAATATTATTTATGTAAAAAAAAAATCATAGTGACCGTTTCTGTAAATTACAAGATTATTATAAGTAATAAATAGATGTGTGGTAAAAATCTGAAATAGATAAAATGTATTATTCATAAGCCACTTTAATTAATATACATAGTATAATATATATAATATTATATAAAGTTCATTAAATTCATATAAAACTTCCTAAAAAACATAAATAAATTTTTTTATTATCTTGCTTACTTCATTCATTCGTCAATGAATATGTTTTAGTAAACAAAATCTTAATCAAATTGAACAAAAATTACATTCGGTATAACGGTGAAGTTAAATACAAACCTGGGCAGCTAGGACCCCAAAGTAAACACACATATACTCGAGCCATTTGGGGAGTTTGAAACTATGATGGGACAAAAGTCGGTGATAAGAAAGAGTTATACCCAAAATTCCAGTAAGCAAGTAACCAGAAAATGCAATCCAAAAAGCATCCCAAGTGAAAGCAAATGGTGCAAAGAGGGTTAATATATGGACAAAAGTGAACCATAATGCCACTTGAATGTCTATAGGTTGCCATTTTCGACCATAAAATTGGTCTCTAGGTTTTGTGACTATCACATCGGAAAACGGTATTTTCCGGTGATCCGATTGGTTTCCACCATCACAGTCGGAGAATGGCACCGCTAAATTAAAGTTTCTCATATTGTTTTAGTGCTTGAATAGTCTGTGTGTTTCTTACGGGGTATAAATAGCCAAATTTTATGGGCTAATTAAATGATAAAAAAGTTACAAAATCACCCCATAGGTTTAGTTTCTTTTCTCAAAGAGCACCCAATTTTAGTTAATGATGTGAATGTACGTAAATCCTCCCTTGTGGAAATATTATGAAGTTAGTGGTCAAAATTGCGTATGATTTAATCAAGGAGAACCGTCATGCATTTGCTTATAGTTTGATTTTATATAGGGTGGCAATTAATGACATACAACAAAAATACACGACACGAAACGAAATTGAGACGAAACTGAAATTCGAATTCGTGTTCGTGTCAAATGTAAAAAGCACAACGTCGTGTCGTATCGTGTTGGTGTTCAAAATTTAACACGAAATTGACACGATTTAGCATTTGTTTGTCGTGTTTTCCGTGTTATGTATGAATAAATATTAATTAAATACATTAAATATTATTTCATGTTATCTTTGTCGTGTCGTGTCGTGTTTATCGTTTTTTAATCGGTTCGTTTTCGTGTTAGTTTAAAAAAACCTGACATTATGTCGTGTCGTGTTACATAAAACATTGTCGTGTCGTGTCGTGTCAGACAAAAACACGACACGATGGCCCGATTTGCCACCCCTAATTTTTTCTTTATTTTGTTGAAAGATATATACTATTTTAATTAGACTAAATTACATTAGTCCTATGATTTATAAAAAAACTAGGTTAAAACCCGTGGAACCCACGGGTGTTGATTTTTAATTGAATTTAAAAATTAATTATATAATAAAATAATATTTCATTAATTTAGAAAACTTATGAATTGTAATATTACATTTTTCAATAACTTTATGATTTGTAAGTATTTAATTACACAATAAATGGTAAGTATTTAATTAGAATTGGAGATTTTTAAAACCTTTATTTTTGGTGCATGATTCTCGTTGAACATACGCAGATGATGCATTACCAATGTGTGTAATTGTAACATCCGGATTTTCAGGGATATTATTGTATATGTTAATCTTGAGGTTGAAGAAGACTCGACGAGTTAAGGGTCCAACTCGCCGAATCGAGTCGAGATTGCCCGCGTGGATTTAATGAGTGGACTCGATGAGTCAGAGGAGGGACTCGCCGAGTAGGCGTTGGGCAGAGAAACCCTAATTTTCCGGACTTGTGCCCTATTTAAATGGCTTTAAGCCCTTATTTCCGCCTCCCTCATCTCCAGAGAGCCCTGTGGGAAACCCTAGATCAGTTCCATCCATCGTGAGAGAGAGTGGCTAAATTGGGTGTTCTTGTGCAATTTTGAGAGGGGATTTGGAGAGCATCTTGGCTTGGATCAAGAGAAGGCTTTGGATCCAGAGATTCTTCAGAGTTATGCTTCATTTGGAGGTAAAAAGATGCTATCTTGATCATTTCCTTATGAGATCTTGTTTTAAGGGAACTTTTAGGGCTTTCTTCCATTTATCTTGTGTCATGGAGTGATTTGTGTATGGTTTGAGGCTGGGACCTCAGATATGGACTATGAGTGGCCTTGTGAGTCCAGAAACTCGAGCTTTATTGAGTTGGAAGCAAGCTCTTGTACATCTAGCCCTTATTGGAGCATGTTTTGGCATTATGAGCCTTATATGCCATGCATGAACGTAAAGCTTGCAGCTTTACATGCTATTCGAGCCTTAGAATAGTAGATCTAGTGATTGGAGTGATAGATCTGCCTTAAATCGTCTGAATGTGAAATCAGATCAAAGGGACTCGCCGAGTCCATGAGCTAACTCGACGAGTCGGCGAGGGTTTGTCCCGATGGATTGATTATCCGATAACTCGGCGAGTTGGGGGTCAACTCGACGAGTTGAGCTGGACTTTTGAGACTTCTGAGGATACGAGAGGACTCGACGAGTCGCAGGAGTGCACTCGACGAGTCGGGTCAAACATGGACTGTTGACTCGAGTTGACCTCTGTTGACTTTGGGGTTTTGGTCAACATGAGTAATAGAGACCATGGAGGGGTAAAATGGTCTTTTATCCACTTCAAAGAGTTAGAGAGAGAAAGAGTAGCCTTCGGTTACTTAAGTCGTGAAAAGAGTATTAATTAGAGATATTCATCCTTTGTGTTAGGCGGAGGCTAGTTCGAGATCCGATCGCGAGGTTACCTGCTCACCTACTTGCGAGGTGAGTCTTCTCACTATACTTTACCTAGAGTGGTAATTATGTGTGACCAGAGGGTCTTATGTGCTTGCTTTAGTTATGCATGATTATGTGATACGTATTGTATGCTATATTATTTGTTGCTTAGACCGGACCGGAGGGTCCAACGAACTATGAGGACAGAGGGTTCTCAATCAGACCGGACCGGAGGGTCCAACGAGCTACGAGACTGGAGGGTCCCGCTGAGACACATAGACCGGAGGGTCTTACAGTGTATAGCCTCGAGTGGCAAATTGTTGTATGTGGTATTTTGGGGAACTCACTAAGCTTCATGCTTACCGTGTTATGTGTTATGTGTTTCAGGTTGTTCTCAGGATCGCGGGAAGGCACCGACTTGATTGTACACACCAGTGAGAGAGTTACGTTTTGAGGATCCTGGATTTTAACCGAGTAATTAAGAAGTTTTGAGTTGTAAACTTAATAAAAGAGATTTTTGTGAAATACATTATGAGAATTATGTGATTTAAAATGAAAAAAATTGTTTTGAAAATTCACGCTGTTACAAGTTGGTATCAGAGCCTTGGTTTGAGGGATTCGGATGCACCTTCGGGTAAATTTGGACTCAAACTAAGGATTTGAGAAAAATTTTCAAGGAAATGATTTTTCTAAAATGAGCAAGAGTTTCTAAGAGAACACGAGAAGGAACAGTGTGTACAATCAGCCAGAGCCCGAATGGTGATTTCCCAAAATACCCTATTTGTGCTATGAGATATTTTGTGATATTCTGCATGCTAAAGGATAGGCTAGGTATTTCATATTTTAGGACCAGAGTGGCCTGATTTGTGATGCCTTAGCCTAGGAGATGCTGTTATCTGTGATGTGCTCTCGAGTATGTGCTGAGTAAGAGTATCCAGCAGGAATATTACAGAGATAGAGTTTCGAGTAGAGGAGTAATCTAGGAGAGACACCTAGATGAGCATTGGAGGAACCTACTGAGAGAGTAGCTAGATGCCCGCGTGGGGTAGAGTTGCCTGAGTTCGGTGACACCTGTGAGTATGAGCAGAGCAATAGAGTTGTAACCTAGAGTGGGTTTTACGTGTTTAGTCGATGCCCGAATGCTGCTTGCTTCGTGCTTTGTGGAACTCCCGATGATGGGAGTCAGCTACCAAGTGAATGTGACGATATTCAGGAGGTAGATGGCTAGCATCATAAGGAGTTCTTCAGCAGCTGATGGCGGGAAAGAGTGAGAACCTAGGAAGAGCCTAGGGAGTGACCATGGTCAGATGAGTGCGTTGACAGAGTAGAGCATTTCGCTGGGGAGCGAGCACGCGCGACGGGATTGGTGATTGAGAAGGTTGAGCAGCTACTTAGGAACTCTGGGATGGTCCGTGTAAAAAGTATGGGTAGATGTGGCAGGTAGTATGGGCCCGTACTACTGAAAGCAGAGGACCCATACTCGATGCAGGGAGTATTCCGGAGGATCTAAGTAGCAGTTTGAGAGGTGATGTCATGGTTCGAGTACCATGCTAAGTAGCAGATTGAGAAGTGATGTCATGGTTTGAGTACCATGCTTTGTGGCAGACTGAGAGGTGATGTAGTGGTTCGAGTACCATGATTCGTAGCAGTTAATGCTTGTGTTTTTCAATTATTCCGTCATGATTGATTAGGTGGAGATCGGATGCGATAGAGTAAGAGGTCAGAGGGCCATGTTGAACGAGCTTCCACGAAGCATCCCTTGTGAGGGAAGTCGAGATGATTCCAAGGTATTTTTGAGTGAGATGTCGGACGAAGTCGCGAGACTCGAGGATGAGTAGAGATGGCGTTTATGGAGGATTGCGGCCTGAGTTGAGCAATCAGCCGATAGTGGAGATGTCACCTTCTGTGACCTGAGTGGTGCTATTTCCGTTTCCTGTGGGAAAACATAAGAGGTGTTGAGATTTCGGTTTCTGAGCTTGGGGGTAAACCCTGAGGGTTAGCATTGATGGCGATCTTCCACCAGAGTATTTGGGCAGTATGTCTACCGCGAGGTAATGATATGGCATGAGCAGGTTGTCAGTGGGGACTGAGATGGTCAAGGACAAGGATACACCCTATTCGAGTATAGTAGGGCATGTATTAGCTGCAGCGTCGGATGATCAAGAGGAGGATATTGGGGCGGTGGCTCTTATTGTCTATGATGAGTATCGAGTATGGTAATGAGGTCGCCACTCTTATTACAACCCACGTGATGGAACGTTGGTTGAGGAGTCGAGGATGAGGAGTATGATAGTTCATTATTTCCATACTAAGAGCCAGGGTTACTACTGGACAGTTGAGATGTCCGGTAATGGGATAGTATGAGACTCTGAATGACTAGAGGCAGTCATGATGAGAAGTTTCTGAGGATTTCATCTGAGATTCAGAGTACTTGGAGTTGCTTGATCTCTAGTGGGGAGATCATTGAGCGTTGCGCAGTACCTTCCAAGGGTAGATGCGATGTTACTGGTAGAAACAGTCTGTGGGATAGATTGTTAATGCGCCAAGCGGTGTTGGGTCGAACCCAAAGTAGGGGAGAACCGGGTATTTTATTGAAGGGATCATAAATTTGTTAAAGAGCGATTAGAGAACTGGATATAGAGACCTGCGGAACGGAGTCATGAGGCCAGGGTTATTAGTGGTCGAGGCGAGGTGCAGAGCAAGGTAATGCAGGTCGTACGTGTTCGAGAAAGGATGAGGGTCTCAACGGCAAGTGGCTGTTGATCGGAGACCTTGTGGTGGTCAGGAAATTTTCAAGGTTGTAATGGTGAATTCGAAGGGGTTGGCTCGTAAGGTTAGTTCGGCGGTTGAGAATTTCTGGTGCAATGTATGGGCTGGTATATGCG